TTATAGATTTTGGATACTAGCCCTTTATCTGATAAGACATTTGCAAATATCTTCTCCCATTCTGTCGGTTGTCTTTTGGTTTTGTCAAATGTTTCCTTTGCTGTGCAGAAGCTTTTTATCTTTTATTTTTTTTTAAGATTTTGTTTATTTATTTGACAGAGAGAGACACAGCGAGAGAGGGAACACAAGCAGGGGGAGCGGCAGAGGGAGAGGAAGAAGAAGGCTTCCCGCTGAGCAGGGAGCCTGACGCAGGGCTTGATGCAGGGTTCCATCCCAGGACCCTGGGACCATGACCTGAGCCAAAGGCAGACGCCTAACGACTGAGCCACCCAGGCGCCCCAGAAGTTTTTTATCTTGATGAAGTCCCAATAGTTCATTTTTTCCCTTGCTTCCCTTGCCTTTGGAGACGCGTCTAGCAAGAAGTTGCTGCGGTCGAGGTCATAGAGGTTGTTGCCTGTGTTCTCCTCTAGAATTTTGATGGATTCCTGTCTCACATTTAGGTCTTTTATCCATTTTGAGTCTATTTTTGTGTGTGGTGTAAGGAAATGGTCCAGTTTCATTCTTCTGCATGTGGCTGTCCAATTTCCCCAACACCACTTGTTGCAGAGACTTTTTTCCATTAGAAATTCTTTCCTACTTTGTTGAAGATTAGTTGGCCATAGAGTTGGGGGTCTGTTTCTGGGCTCTCTATTCTGTTCCATTGATCTGTGTGTCTGGTTTTGTGTCAGGACCATACTGTCTCGATGATGACAGCTTTGTAACAGAGCTTGAAGTCCGGAATTGCGATGCCACCAGCTTTGCTTTTCTTTTTCAACATTCCTTTAAGCCTGAACTTCTGTATCAGACAGACCTGTATCCATAGCTCATTTCCTCCACTTACCAGACTTGTGATCCCAGACAACTTTTACAACCTCTCTCTGCCTTAGTTTTCTCCTGTATAAAATGGGGCTAGTGAGACTCAACCCCAAAAGTCCTTGTAAGACTTAGTCTGAAACCCAGCTGTCCCCAGGTCTTCAGTCCTCTGGGTTCCCCCTTCGCTTTCAAATAGAATAGGGTTGCCAGATTTAACAAATAAAAATACAGGACAACCAGTTAAATTTCAATTATAGATAACAGATAACTTTTCAGTGTGAGTATGTCCTAAATATTGCTTGGAATATACTTATGCTAAAAATGTATTTGTTATTTTTCTGAAATTCAAACATACTCAGGCATTGTGTATTTTATCTGTAACCCTATGTAAAAATCCAATGGCTTACACCTTGTCCCCGAACTGTACAGACTTGACACCCTACAGTACTTCTCATGCCTCCTACGGGGCTGAGCCCCAGTCTCCCACCCCTCCCGCCACTGCTGCCCGGAGTTGCTCTCTTTGCTCTGTTCCACTTCACCTGGCCATGGATTGGCCCTGTCCCTTTTCCCTCATTCCCTGAAGTCCCAGCCTCATAGGCTGTGGAGTGTGACCCACTTTTACTGACCTTGTGGGGAGAATGGAGGGCATTTGCAGCTCAGCTCAGAGCAGGAAACACACCTTATGTCAACTGTCAGACAGCACCTCCTGAATTCTGTCCCTGCACTCCCTCATGGGGCATCCTTGCTGGCCTGGCTCCCCACATACACCTTCTTCCTACCTCCGCTTTTCCAGGGTCTCAGCCCCTCCTTCGGGCCACCAGCAGATGACACACACACTCATATTTTCTCACGAAACAACAGCCAGCTGTCTTATAGGACCTAGGAAAGGAAGAGTCCCAGAGGTAGATGAAACTGTGTTATGTCTGATTACCGAGACCAGGGCCAAATGACTGCCAGTCACGTGTGAAGCAAGAAAACACGTGTGGCAGAGCCTACGGAAGGAGTGTCTGAAGCTTGGAAAGAAATTCTGGACATGATCGCGGACACTCTTGTAGGAAATGGTACGTCACTACCCTCCTGATGGCACAGAGGGTGATGCCGTGTAGGAAAACCCTGAGTGCTCTGAATCAAAAAGAGATTTAAGAAATGTGGACTCCAAATGTGAAGACATTTGGGGACTATCTTAGCCAGTTTGCTTTACCAATCATTTCCTTTTCGATAATTGCAAAAGAGTGATTTTGACTTAAAAAAAAAAAAACTGATATCTAAATCAATCCGAAAGATTTCTTTCATTAGATACAAACCAAAATTGGTAAGAAAGCATTTTTTGGGTCGTTTTCCTTCATGGCTTTTTTAAATTATTTTTAATTATGGCAAAATACACATAACATAAAACCATTCTAACCATTTATGACTACACAGTTAAGTGGTGTTAGGTACATACACATTTTTGTGCAACTGTTACCACAATCTATCGCCAAGAAGGCATTTTTGCAATACTAATTAGTGATGCCTCATACGATTGATGGCACCTTGGACCTCGTGGAGACATGGCGTCGTGGTCACCGTAGACAAAATGCAGTCCTCGCCTGGGGGAGCTCCACTGCCCACTAGGACCCACAGCTTGAACTCCACCCCCCACACCCTCCCACCCCGGGCTCTGGCAGGTACACCTTCTTCCTCCCTGGCTCAAAAGGAATGCACAGCACACGTAGGGCCCAGTCATGGTTGTTGCTCTCCCCTCCTCCCAGTCCTGGGCCCAGACCCGAACGTGAGTAAGTCTTAATCTCTCTGGACTGCAGGTTCTTATCTGTAAAGTGAGATCCGTAGTCTAGATGACCTTTAAGATCCCACTGGGTTCTAAATTTATGACTGTGACTGAATGACCACACACACACACACACACACACACACACACACACACACATTTGGGTTGGGAATTAATGGGCTTACAGAAAGAAACCGTGACACTTCTGGGTTTATGGGGAGGTAAGAGATTTTCACTTGACGAGGTGAGGGCAGGTCCTGCCCAGAATCAGGGGTCAGCAGGCCACTCCCTCTCTCTGTCTCTCAAAATCATAAACACCTTGACCAAAGAGGAGAGACCAGAAGGGGTGCATGGTCCATCTAAGGGCACACAAACAGCTCCACTCTGCAGTCTCCGATCCCTCCCAGACTTCTGTTCCTACGACTGTGATTTGTCTGGGGTCCTGCTGGACAGGAGGTAGAGCAGGGTCTGGAGCCAATCCTCCTAACTTCCCTCTGAACCTGACCCTGTGTTTGGGTCCCCAGGAGAGGGAACAGGGCCAGAGGGATGAGGGAAGAGCAAGGGGAGTGGGGCCTGGGGACTCCCAGACCTAAATGTCTCCTAGATCCCAGGCCAGGGCAGCACTGATGGTGGGAGGTGGCATTGCCCAGAGGCTGGGCTGAATAGGCAGCAAGGCCAAAGAGTCGCTTCCAGATCATTGTGGCCTCCCTAAGCCTGCACAGCTCACTGCCTCACAGAAATGTCCTCCCCATGTGGCTTGGGTGGCTCTGAGCTCCAGGGGGTGCCTACAACCTGTCACAGCTTCTGGGACACTCTATGTGAGTTTAGGGAGACCTTTTCTCCTCCTCCGAGTATTCAGAGTATAAATAAATAACGCTATTAATAATAGCTGATATTGGGGCGCCTGGGTGGCTCAGTCGTTAAGCATCTGCCTCCGGCTCAGGTCATGATCCCAGGGTCCTGGGATCGAGCCCCGCGTCGGGCTCCCTGCTCGGCGGGAGGCCTCTTTCTCCCTCTCCCACTCCCCCTGCTTGTGTTCCCTCTCTCGCTGTGTCTCTCTCTGTCAAATAAATAAATAAAATCTTAAAAAAAAATAATAGCTGATATTAATTGATGGTTGACTGTGGGCCAGGTGAGGCTCTGAGCACTTTACATTATTTCATTTAATCCAAACCCCAACCCCATGTAGGTTTATTATCTCCTGTTTACAGAGACGGACAAGAAGGGGTAAATCACAGAGATGGACCAGGGTGATGCTGGAATGGAAGCTGGAAGCTTCCTCAGGCAACTGCACGTTGATCCCATCACCCAGGACCAGGGTCCCCCTGCCACTGACACCACCCCCTCCCTCCAGGCTACGGGAGCTGCCTTTTGGCTGGAGTTCCAGGGAGGACATGAACCTTAAGAACTTCTGGGTAATTGACTACAAGAAAGTGAGCCCAGAAGAGACGAAATCTTTATGCCTTGGAAGGTTCACCTCACAAGCCAACCCGTTGTTTTCCATCCCCTTCAAGAAGGAATAATTGAAGGTCAACAACAGGAAGAACTTCCCAATCGCTAGAAGGAGTAGCATGGACATCCTCCCTCATGGTCAGTCTTGGGTGAGGTGTTGTCCCTGCCTTGACCAATAGCTGGAGTCAGAGGGAGGGGGTTTGGCATCATCCCCTCAGAGAAGCCCCACTCACAGAACCAGTGGGGGTGGGGGAAGCCCTGGGGCCTCAGCCCTAGGGGAACCAGGGAACAAACACGGAAAATCAGGGGACGTCAGTCCTTATCTGGAGCTTATTAATGGGGAACATTAGTCAGCTGTGAAGGCCAAGATGGGGTGATATGCATGCGGGTGGGCAGGGGCGGGGGGGGGGGGCAGCCATAGGAGAGACAAGCTGCGGACCCAGACTCCACCTCCGCCTCACGTGTCCCAATCCAGGGTGGAAGAACCCTATAAATGCCCCTAGCCCAGCCTCCCCAGAGACCCTGAGAGAGAGAGAGCGTGCCCCACAAGCTTCCTTCGGCTGTGACTGCCGGGCCAGCCCACAGAGGGCACAGCATGTGGGAACTCCGGTCCATAGCCTTCTCCAGGGCCGTGTTTGCCGAGTTCCTGGCCACACTCCTCTTCGTCTTCTTCGGCCTCGGTTCGGCCCTCAACTGGCCACAGGCCCTGCCCTCTGTGCTGCAGATTGCCATGGCCTTCGGCCTGGGTATTGGGACCTTGGTGCAGGCTCTGGGCCACGTCAGCGGGGCTCACATCAACCCTGCCGTGACCGTGGCCTGCCTGGTGGGCTGCCACGTCTCCTTTCTCCGAGCTGCCTTCTACGTGGCTGCCCAGCTGCTGGGGGCTGTGGCAGGGGCCGCTCTGCTCCATGAGATCACACCACCCGACATTCGAGGGGACCTGGCTGTGAATGCAGTGAGTAGCCAGAACTTTGTCCCTTCCCCAAGGGGCAGGTCCTGGGGAGTCCCTCGGAAAGGGTGAGATGGGGGGACCAGATTTGGGTGAGGGTCTGGGTGGGGAGAGAGAAAGATGGAGGGCGGGGAGGAGGCAGAGAGGGAGAGATGCTGGAGCCAGGAACACAGGTGCCATAAGGGAGTCGGGGTAGAAAGAGCAATAAGGTCTGAGCAGAGGCAGGATCCAGGCGGGTCTGCTGGCACCTTCTGCCCTGAGTCTCATGGGGGAAGAGCAGCATCAGGGTTGACCTGACGCCTGCTTTACAGTGAGGGCTGGGCTAGAACTCAGCAGAAGACAAAGTCCCAAAGCAGATGTGCTTTCTGAACTGGGAGGAACCTCAGAGTGCTAGTCCCAAGGGTCTTCTCGAGGGAAGAAGGATCCAGTATTTCTCCAGCATCCGCGTGTGAGCCTCACAGCAGGGGCTCCTCACAAGCCACACGTTGACACCTCGCAACAGAGCTCCGAGGTAGGGATGGGTGTATCCGTTGCTTACGGTGCCAGAAGCCAGCCTTCAAACCCAGGCTTGACTGCAAAACTCATGATCTTTCCACCTGACCAATGTCCCCTCCCTGAGCCATCAACTAAGATTTGTTTAGCACACAAGGAAACTAAGGCTCAGAGAAGGGAAGGGATGGGCTAAGAGTTCTATGTCAATACCAGAGAAAGCACCAGAACTCAAGGGAAAGCTGAAGAGGCAAGGTCTCTCCAGACCCTGGAGAAGGTCCCCAGAGCCCGTGACTAACTGCTGATTACATGAGCAGTGGCTAGTCGGACACCTTAGGCACTTTGGGAGCCCCTCCGCCTCCGCATTCCTGCCCTCCCTCTCTCCTGGGTCTGTGCGGCACCCTGGCATCCGAGGTCAATACACGTCTCAATACACGTCTCAATACACGTCTCTCTCCACCCCCATCCCAAGCCAGGGCCGCAAGAGCCCCTTTCGTGCCTCGATGACCTGCCTTTCCCTGGGCCACTGGATAAAAGCGCTGATGTCTCTGAAGAGTCCTACACGGTTTCTGTGGCCACCCCCTCCTTTGCACAGGTGGCCCTTCCTCACGCAAGGGGCAGAGGTGTCCCAATTGAGGAACTTTTTTCTTCTTCAAAATGGAAAATATGATGAGGCTGAGGCTCAGGGATGAGGAAAGGCTAGAGTGGCCACGGTGGGAGACAGATTGAGGAGTGTGACTATTTCCAGTGAGAATGAAATTAGTTCTGTTCCCAATAAGGAGAGGTCCAGTTAGACTGCCGGAGGAACTTCCTAAGAGTATGGCCAAGAAAGTAAATGTGTGGCTAGAGAATCTCCTCTGACAGCAGAGCAATGGGAATGCTAAGGGACCATGGGGACACTCACTCCTGCTCCTCCATCATTTGACAGTTAACTGAGGCCCTCAGAGGAAAGGGTCTGGAGGGGGTCCCCCAAGTTACTGCTCAGCATTTACCATCTTGAGGAACTAGGGAGAACCCTGCCTTGCTGGAATGGTGCAGCAGTGGGGCTGAGTTGCCCTGAGGCTAGAAAGCTAGATGACCCCCAAGACTGTTCCAGGCATCCTCTGAGGTCCCTGGAAAGGCCTGCCTAGCAGCCAGGAAGTTACCACTGATGTGCACCTGCTCTTTACCAGGCCAGATATCACCTATTTCTTGGTGCAACACTGTAAGATGAATTCTGTGAACCCTCTACCCTGATTGGTAAATTGAGGCCCCACAATCAATTGACTCAAATCATAGAACTAGCTGATGTCAGCATCTGGAAGTGGATGCAGAGCTATCTGACACCAAATCCGTGTCCACACCTCTCCCTTAGAAAAGCCATTTACCAGTGGGAATGGGGCTGGGGCTCTGCCCTGGTCATTTCCAGTCCTCACACAGTCCTCCGGAATCTGTTATGTTGTCCCCATTTTACGGAAGGACAAACTGAGGCTGAAGTAGTAAATAGGGCCCCATGGCAAGTTACAGGCCTCCAAAATATCTGCCTTCAAAGCTCCTTTCACTGCCCCCCACTAGAGGCTCTAACATTGGACGATCGGAGTGGGGGGCCTGAGGTTAGACCCTAGAGACGCAAGGGTGCCAGCCCAATGGCTAGGACCCAAGAATGGGGGTTCAGGGCCTGGAGAAGGAGTGTGGGAGCTGAGAGCTCTCCTAGTGCCAACCGGTGCAGTGCCCAGTGCTTGAGGGCAGGGTGTAGGGCACAGGATGACAAAACGCAGGGAGAAATCCAGTGCTGGGTGCGGCCCAGTTATGAAATCGCCTCTTTGCTCGGCCCCAAGTTCTCTCATTACCCAAGGCAGGGTCTGCCAGGACCATGGGCACCCCACCCGGTCCACAGGCCCCCTTGCCCCAGTACAGGGCACCAGCGCGCCCACCCCAACCTCCACAGGATGTGCAGGGAACAAATCCACGGGGCAAAACTCAGGCCTGAAGCACAGTGTGGAACAGGCAAGATCCAGGGGGACAGGCAAGGGTGAAAGGAAAGAGTTGTACACTGGGCTCATGGGGTGAGGGTTCGCACTAGGACTGTCCTAGACCCAAGTCCTAAGACCCTTCCCTGGGGGCCCTTTGCCCACATGAAGAAAGGGCGCAGGCCTCTCATTACACCAGCAGTATCTTATGGCCTAGAGAGCAAAGAAGGCCTTTCTGTTATCTGCCCTAAAGCTTCCTGCTGCAGTCAAGACCTCTTCCCTTCTTGTTCTGGAAACAAACTGTGGACCTCAGCATCCTTTGCCTCTCGCATTAGGCACGTAATCACAGCCCCCAAATCTAACGGACTGTAGAGTCAGTTTTCCTACCTCTGGCCTAGGGACCACCGGCAGTCCTGGGGTCCATCCCCCTACCTTTGGGCCACAGCCCAGGAAGAAGCCATCATTCATTTGAGCTAAGGTGGCTGGTGAGCCCCCGTGTTCCAGTCCCAGCCCAGAAGCCTCTCTGGAGCCTTGACTGCAGATGGGTGGGAAGATGGAGCCAGAGTAGGGAGCCCGCTCAGCGTGCGCCCACCCACCCTCTCTCTTTCCCCAGCTCAGCAACAACACCACAGCAGGCCAGGCTGTCACCGTGGAGCTCTTCCTGACCCTGCAGCTGGTGCTCTGCATCTTCGCTTCCACAGATGAGCGTCGCGGAGACAACCTGGGCACCCCCGCGCTCTCCATCGGTTTCTCCGTGGCCCTGGGGCACCTCCTTGGGGTAGGTCAGGGCCACTGCTTCTAGTCCCCCCAGGGACAGACCTACAGACCTTCCCCAAAGAAGCAGACACACAGACCACTCTAGAAATAGACACACAGACCCCCAAAAGTGACAGACACAAAGACCCCGAGGGGACAGATACACAGAACTCCCCAGAGGCACAGTCATGTGGCCACCCCAGAAGGTCTGACTCCCAGATACCCCCCAGATCTCACTCCAGCCTCCAATGAATACAGAACCCTGTACCTATGCGGACTAACTGCCCATCACAGGGGTTCCCTTGAGGTTGAGGGCAAGGGCTAGAGAGGGGCACAAGGACTCCCTGCGCTGTCCTCATCAGCTGCCTTCCCTCCCTGACCCCTGTCTCCCCTTGTAGATCCACTACACTCGCTGCTCCATGAATCCCGCCCGCTCCCTGGCTCCTGCTGTTGTCACCGGCAAGTTTGACGACCACTGGGTAATGGCTGAAACCTCCCCCGCCTTCCCCTCCCTCAGAAACCCATCTCCGCTAGGGCTGGAATAGAGGGGGTGGGAGCGCAGCGAACCCTCCGCGCTCCTCCTGGGGAGCCTGGGCTTCCTCCCTCGGGTCTGATGCAGAACACTTCGTTCTTCCTTTCCACATCCCTCAGTGAGGATAATAGCAGTTGTTGCCTCATTGGCTTTCCGGAAGAGTTCAGTGACGTTCCTTAAGTGAGGTATAAAACAGCTCACACAGTGGCTGGAACCCCGTAAATGGTAATATTTGTACTAGCTAACGCAGACCTTTGTATTACTCAGCACTCATCTAGCCTGAGCAGGGGCCAGGCCTTATTCTAAGTGCTTTGTTGGTTTTCACGACCACCCTAGGACGTAGGCATTATCGCAATGAAAGGCAACTGAGGCCCAGACAGGGTGGGCAAATTGCCTCTGGTCACCCGGGCAGTCCGCTTGGAATTCGCACCCTTAACCCCCAACTAGCCCGCCTGCCCCAACAGCCGCTGTCGTCATTACTAAGTCCGCCAATCCGCCCCCCCCCAACTAGTCCATGAATCGCGTGGGAGACCCCCTTTCCGACACCAAGTGCGGGGAGCGCGTCTGGAGGCTGCGGGGCGCGGGGAGTCGGGGCTCGCCCCCCCCACCCCAACCCCGCCCCAACCGGCCTCTCCGCCCGCCCCAGGTCTTCTGGATCGGACCCCTGGTGGGCGCCGTCCTGGGCTCCCTGCTCTACAACTACGTCCTGTTCCCGCCCGCCAAGAGCCTGGCCGAGCGCCTAGCGGTGCTCAAGGGGCAGGAGCCCGACGCCGACTGGGAGGAGCGCGAGGTGCGGCGGCGGCAGTCGGTGGAGCTGCACTCGCCGCAGAGCCAGCCGCGGGGCAGCAAGGCCTGAGCGCGCCGCCCGCCCGGCCCCGAGGCCCCGGCCCCCGGCTCCGGGGGGACGAGCTCCGAGGGACTGCCCGCCCGCCGCCCAGCCCGCCCCTCCTGTCCCCAGGTCCGAAGGCGGTGGCGGTGAGCCCGGCAGACCCCCTGTCCCCCAGGCTGCAGGCAGTGAGCAGTCCGGACGCTCTGGCCCCTTGCAGGGAGCTGGACGCTTGGGGAGGGAAGGCCAGCAGGCAGAGGAAGGCTCTGGAGAGGCCGCACCGGGGTTCGGCGGGGGAGGAGGATCTGGGACCGGTGCGCCAGGTTTTGCTAGTGTGCAAGTGTGTGTTCCTCCCCAGTGTCTCTCTGTCCCCAAGTGCACGGAGGTGCATGCTCCTGAGTGTGAGTGGCTGGGCCTGTGGTGGTGGGAGTGCCCTGGCTGGCAACCTCTCCCTCCCCTCTTGACCCCTTCCTCCCCCCAGGGCAATAAATCTCCTCCCTCTGCAGCCCCATCCTCCCCAGGAGCTCTAAGACAGTGCTCCTCAGGAGAAGGGAAGGGGAGGGTCTGGAGGCCCCTGAGAGGGCTGAAGGGAGGGCCCTGATGGGCAACCCCTACCCTGCCTCTCCTGGAAAATTCCCCCAAGCTGCGGCGCTGGGCCCCAAGGTTTGCCAACTTCCATTGCTAGAGACAGAGACTATCAGCCAGAGAATGGCTTCCCCAAAAGTGGCCTCCGGGAAAAGGGAGGGTTGGGTGGCCAAGGACCTCCTTTCTGCCCTGAGGGAAGACCTCTTCAAGGAAGGAAGCCGGCATACGAGTGTGCATGCCTGTATGTGTGTGTACATGCCCTACATGTGTGCAGGAGACCCCCATCTCCAGGGTGCTCCAGACCCAGAGATTAGCCTGTGGCAGAGAAAACAAAAGCCCTCTGCAGGCCCGGACTTGGAGAGGGGGAGATTTGCAATTGGACACTTGGTGAAAGGAGACACTCCGTTTCACAAGTGAGGCCTCTCTCCCGGCACGCATCCATGGCTGGCTGGCCAGGGCGGTCAGGCGGGCGGCCACAGGCCCCGCTCCCCAGGAATCTCTCTTCCTCTCCCTCCCTTCAGGTTTCCACCCTAGTTCAGTTACTGGGGGCCAGAGCAGCCTAGCACTCGCAGGACCACGGAAGGGAAATGACTTGTCCACGCAGAGGCAGGTCTGTGTCTAGAGCCTGGGCTTCTACATTTCCAGGCCAGTGCAATGGTTCTCAAATGAGATTAAGTGGGATTAAGTGAGATGATGCATGTAAAGATGCTGTGTGAACTGTAATTCCTCATACCATTAGCACGCATTATTGGGATTATTTCATTATTTCCGCCTCCTGCGGGTAGAGCACAGAAGGGGCCTGATCCTCAGCCTCTTTTACCTTCTTTAGTTGGTGGCCAGTGCAAAGGATGGCCCTGAGAGTCAAGGCAGAAGGAGATGGGCTTGGGGGTGACCCCATCCTGGTCCAGCCTCTTCACCTCTCCTGGCCTTGAGTGCACCCTAGCTGTTCTAGCACTTTCCTCCCCCCATCACCCAGACACCCTCCATTCTCTCCGTCCCTCTCCAGTCTGCTGCATAGCTAACCTCAGAATCACATCTTGAGCCCCTTTCTCCATGCACTGGGGCCTCCCTGCTTCCAGGCTTCTGTCGGTGTCTGTCTCACAAGGCACCGAGCACCCAGTGTACCGGAGTCTCCAGCCCCTTCCTGCCTTCCACTCCCTTCAAAGATGGACGGTGTATGAGGAACATCTCTGGGAGTGTGCCTACCTTCTCATCTATGCTTTTTTCTGTCTTCCTTGACCAAAGTTCCCTCTGGGGTCAGAAAAAGGCTGCCTTGGCCCATACGTGCTATGGAAAAAAGGGTCCCGAACCCCCCGACAGCTGGTGACAGCCACCTGGCCTCACTACCAGAGGAGAGGTTGTATCAGAGACCGAAGTGACCTCTGGGGCTGTACTTTGTACTGCTCTCGAAGTTCAAAGGCAGCAAGGCATTGAGCTGTGAGCCAAGCCTCCATGTGTCTCAGGCACCTCATCCCCACCCCACCTCACCCCCACAGATCCCCCTAGAAGGTGCCAAGAATTTCTCTTTATGTCTATCCCCTTTCCTGGATTGCACCTCACCTAAAACCAAATGGGACATCACCACAACTTCCTGCCCTGATTGCCCAGATTGGGGTCACTAAGGTCAGAGGTCAAAGCCGATTCAAAATGACGAGGATGGAGGGGACCTGACACCTAGCCAGCATCTCTTGTGTCCCAACCTCTGTGCTAAAACCTCAGGCAGGTTAGGGAAGGAGGGCAGCTTCCAGGTCCGCAGGGTTTTAGCATTTCCAACGCACTCCCTATCATCCCCCCTGATTATCTCCCAACCCGGTGAGAGAGGCAGAGCAAATACTGTTCTTCCCATTTTATAGATTAAGGAACTGCATTTCAGAGAATGATCTAACATCACACAGCTGTATGTAGTGGACTCAAGACTTGAACTCAGGCCTTCTTATTCAAAAATCCCATGATCTGGGGGTATAGCTCAGGGATAGAGCATTTGACTGCAAAATCCCATGATTTGTCCATTCGGAGCTCAGGAGAGACCAGATCTGGTCTGGGGCAAGTCCTAGTTGCCCCCTTGGGCGCCCCTGGCAGAAACCAGAGCACACAACTGAGGCTGTCCAGCCCAGCCCTCTGTCTAGTGGTGGACACAGGCCCTCGGGGAGGGCCGCAGCAGGGTAGAGAAAAAAGGACAAAGAACACCAGGCTGGTTTCTGCCCTTGAAAAGCTCCTAGTCTGGAGGAGGATGGAGGTCAGACACCCAAAACCAGACAGGCGCCAGGCAGCATGGAGGCAGGTGGACAGGCTTCCAGGTCCTCAAGCTGGGGACAGAGAAGGCTTTGAGCTGTCCCAGCAGCATCCATTCCCACATCCCCACTTTGTGCCTGCAAATATTGCTTTCATGTGGTGATTCTGTGTATACGCAGTGCCTCCCAGGCAAGACTGTAAGCCCTTTGGGGGCAGGGCTCCTTCTAGTTCTTGGATGGCATTCTCCTACCTATTTTCCTTTATCTGTCTGGTCTAGCACAGTGCACTGCATATAGTAAGCACTCAATAAATGTTCATTTGCCAATAAGTGCTATTTCTTCCGCAACTTAGCGATGGTCAATATCCTCCAAAGTGCCAGAAGACAAACCGGGGTCTCTCACATGTCTTGAGCCCCCCAGAGCTGCTGCTGGGTATGGTGCAGAAGGCATTTCGATGCTGAATAAGCAGCTCAACGAAGGGAGCCTGTGATGGCAAATTTCCACAGCCAACCTGGCCAAAATGGGCATCCCAGGCTTTGTGACTCAGGTGGCACCATGGAGGGGCACCAAGACATGGGCAGGCTGTGTGGCCTCCAGAGAAAGTAAAGAACAGAACAGCCCCTTTTGGTCTCCTCATGCTGGCCTTAGCACCGTGTTGGAAAGTCAGGACAGGACAACCCCTAATACTCAACATGTCCCCAACTAACAGACCCAGACCTGCTCCTGCCACCGTCCTCCCCATCTCAAATGGTACAACTTCAGTCTTTCAGATGCACGGGCCAAACAGCTCCAGTCCCCCTTGACTCCTCGTTCTCACCCACCACGAGCACTCCCATCAGGCCTTCCGGTCAGGGTTCCGTGCACAAGGGATCCAGAATCTGATCATTCTCACCATCAGTACCTCCACTGGGGTCCAGGCCACTATCACCTCTCCCTGGGTAGGCATCTACCCATCTCCCTGCTTTAATCCCTGTCCCTCTGGTCTCTTCTCAACACAGGAGCAGAGGGGTGGGGTTAAAAACTGTCAGACCATAGCAGTCCCTGGCTCCGCAACTTCTTCCTTCTCGCCAGTGAGGCCTGTGGGCCTTTTGCTGGTGCACAGTCTGCCCCCTCCACCACCTCTGCTCTCATCTCCTTCTGCTCTTCCTTGTTCCCTCTGTTCCGGCAACACTGGCTGCTCCCTCTGCCCAGAATGTTCTTCCCCCAGATACAGGCATGGACCTCTCCCGGTCTTCCTTCAAGTCTGCTCAGATGTCACCTTCTCAGTAAAACCTACACTGATACCCCATTTAAAATTTCAAAGAACATCCACTCCCACCCCAGCATGCCCAGCCCCCCTTAACATATTCTATTTTTCCATTAGCACTTACCAGATTCTAACACACTGTATAATTTACATATACCCATTGTTTATTGTCTGTCTCCTTTCACTAGAATATTAGCTCCTCAAGGCAGAGAAATAGTCTGCTAGTTCACGGCTATATCCCCAGTGCTTCGAACGGTGCCTGCCACATAAGAACTGTCCGATAAGTCTTTGTAGGAAGGAATGAATAACTCTCTTCCCCCACACTGGGGAATGTGTGGAGCCCCAGAGGAATATTCTGCTGCCAATTACCCTATCATTTCTGCCTCCAGCCCTCAATGGCTCCCAGGGAATACAGGGGTCCCTATATCAGGAGAGGAGGGAAAGGGCTCCCCCTGAGGGGTTCTAACTCTCCCTGCCACAGATGGGGAGATCTATCTCCCAGTCCAGAGACATCCCAAGGAAGCATTCCTCTGGGGCTGCCAGCGCAGAGCCCAAGTGCTCAGGGCAAAGACAATTCCAGAACAGAGTAGCTGCAGTAATTTCTTGTGACAGCCTTGGAACAGAGTGACCCAGATGGTTGGAGAGAGATGGAAGGACCCTAAGCACAGGCCTAGGAAACGTAACCAACTGCTCCCTCTGAGTCTATGGAGTCATCAGGGTCACTATTCCAGGTCTGGGACAGGCCTGCGCTGAGCCCTGAGCCGCGAGCCCAGATGAAAATCCAGTACACACCTGCCATTCTCTTCCAGGGGCAGGGCTCCAGGACCCATGGCAGAAAGGACAAGAGGACAGAAATGGGGGAGGCCTGGGTGGCTCAGATGTTGAGCGTCTGCCTTCGGCTCAGGTCATGATCTCAGGGTCCTGGGATCGAGCCCCGCTTCGGACTCCCTGCTCAGCAGGAAGTCTGCTTCTCCTTCTCCCTCTGTTCCTCCCCGACCCAGCTCCTGCTCCTCCCCCACCCCCCACAAGCTTGCACGTGTGAGCCTGCGTGCTCACTCTCTCCCTCTCTCTGTCTCAAATAAATAAATAAAATCTTAAAAAAAAAAAAAAAAAGAGGAAAGAAGTGGGAAAGGAGCTGCTCCAGCAGGAAACACGGAACTGAGGTGGAACAATAGTGGGGTTTCTTTGGTCCCTGTTTTCTTTGGCATCTTAGCTGCCACGGAGCCCAGAGCCCGATCCTCCAGGTCCTTGGCTTTCCTCCGGGCCCCTCCCCTTAGCCCCTGCTGGAGAGACTACCAGAGGAGCACCTGTTCTCTCCTTCTGCTGCACCCTCTGTGTAACGGCCCACAGAGCCCTCAGGGGGCTGTAAAATTATAGTCACACACACAACATGAGGAAACTTTACTGAGCCTTACTCTGTAACAGGCACTGTGCTGAGTGCTTCCCAAGGACACGTGGTGGTAGCAGGCGGTGGGGTCTTTTGTGGAACTCCTCTCCCGGGATCCCTCTTCCAAGCCCTGGAGGGCTCTCCAGCCTCATTCCCTACATGCCTAACGTGGGGCTGGGAAGAAGGAGGGCTGGGAAGGCCAGTGGAGAGCAGCTGGGAGTTCAGAGGGAAGGGATAAGGACAGGGGGAGGTGGAGGGGAGCTGGAAGAGAGTGTCACCTAGTCCAGGGGTGGGAGCACTAGAAAAGAACACATGTAAGAGAGACGGGCCTGGAAACTGAGGTAGAGACAGAAAAGAAACGAAGAAAGTCACAGAAATTAAGAGGCGGAGGAAGTAAAACAGGAGACAGAAACAGAGGCAAGGAGAGACTGAGAGCCTAAGGCTAAGACTGTAAACAGAAAGCAAGGGGGGAAAGAAGAAATTGGAAAGAGAAAAAGAGGGAGAGCCTAAGAGACAGACTGAGACTGCAAGGAGACAGAGGGACGGGGATTTCGAGGGAGACTGAGACAGAGATGAGAAAGAGACTGCTAGAAGGAGGACAGACCAGGAGACTGAAGAGAGAGACAAGAAGTCTGAAAAAGGAAGAGTTTGGAGGGAGAGGCTGAAGGAGAAAGAGCAGAGGCAGGGATTGCAAGACGGAGAGAAATCAAGACTGAGTGAGGGGGCAGAGGGGTGGAGGGGCCTGGCTGGCTCAGGTAGAGCCTGAGACTCTTGATCTCAGGGTTGTGGGTTGGAGCCCCATGTTGGGTGTAGAGATTACTTAAAGATAAAATCTTAGGGGCGCCTGGGTGGCTCAGTCGTTAAACGTCTGCCTTCGGCTCAGGTCATGATCCCCGGGTCCTGGGATCGAGCCCAGCATCCGGCTGCCTGCTCAGCAGGAAGCCTGCTTCTCCCTCTCCCACTCCCCCTGCTTGTGTTCCCTCTCTCGCTGTCTCGCTCTGTCAGATAAATAAAATCTTTAAAAAAAAGAAAAAGATAAAATCTTAAAAAAAAAAAAAAAAAGACTGAGGATTTGAAGGAGGGGAAGACTAAGGAGACAGAGGAGGAGGAGGTGAGCGGTGGGAGGAAGAAAAGAAAAACCTGAGATATGCAGAGTAGGGGGCCTCCGGCAGGGGCAGAAAAGCGGGAGAGGCCAAGACCTGGCATGGGAGGTCAGCACTGCACCTGTATCCTCCTAGCACCAAACTCCGACCCCCCAATCCCAGGGGCTCTTCCCTGACCCAAAGCAAAACCGCCCTCGGTCAGGCCCCTTCGCGTCCCATGAACGAAGTGAATTCCCGGCCCCCATCCTCCTGGGGACTCGCTGGGATCCCCAGGAGTTCTGTGCTCCTGGAGGGGCTCGCTCAGCTGCCCGGGAGAGGGCGCCTCCTGGGGCTACTGGGCTTCGAGGATTGCCAAGCGCGGGCCCGGCTGGCACTGCGCCTGCTTTTCCCAAAATGCCCCTGCTCCAACCCGGGAAGCCAGCCTGGCCCGGCCAGGGAGAGGCCCACGACGGCCGGCCGGACCGCCCCGCGCGGCCCAGCCCGGTCACCCGCCCCCGCCACCGCCGGGCAGGGAGCTGAGTGACGCTGTCCTCGGAGAATCGCCTCATTCCAGCCCTGCCGGGGCGTGAGGCCGGATCAGGATGCCCGCGTCGCAGGAGGAAAAGGAGAAGCTGGACCCAGAGCCCGAGGAGAAGAAAAGGGGAAGACAAGGGACGGAGATCGAGGGCCAGCGGAGGTAGGCGCCCGGAGCACCGTAGAACCCGCGAGGCCGAACCCGGCGAAGTCTCCCAGGGAGCCCGGGACCAGCAGCGCGGAGGAGAGCGCGGGAGCCGTCGGCGGCGCACCATGCGCGGGTCCCCCGCCGCCCGGCGGGCCTACTCGGCTGCCGCCTGGGTCACGTGGCCCGGGCGCGTCCG